CAACATTGCATTATAGAAAATCACGCTATAAAAATAATGGGGCCTATGGGAAAAGCGGGGTTGAGGCAGACCACCAAAAAATACCACTTAAAATCGCTCAAAAATCACTCAAAAGCCTAACACAAAGGATAGCACAGTTTGAATAAATGTTAATTCATATCTAATAAGGAAATAAAAGTAACACCTTAACACATTACCTTGAAAAAATTTCAAGATGACTTGATGGAGGAGGAGGTTTTGAAGTTGGTCTGTTGTTAATGCAAGGGCTGAGGGTCGTCATTCTTGTCATCATCATCACCTTAGGTGCAGTTGTGGTTGCAGGGTTAGGAAAAAACATAATTGATCCAGAAGTGGTTGGCTGTGGTTGTTTTTGGGGGTGGATTAAAAAAGACATCAAGTTTTTGCTGCTTTGCTCTTTTTCTTCTTTCATGAAGAAGCTATTCGTAGGGTGCCAAATAAGATCTTGTTCCATGAACTGCTACCCTGCTGCATTCTGTATTGTAATTGTTGCCCTCTAAGAGCTGCAACTGGTTCTCAATTTCCCTCAGGATAGGAGGCAAAACAGAAGTGGAAAGTTCTCATGGTGCTGCATCCTGGACTTCATCTTCTTCATCTTCAGCTTCCACTTCCCCCTCAGTGACAAGTTGTTGTAGATCAGCTGTGGAGAGGTCTTTACAGTGGGACTTTAGCAGCTCGTCAACATCCCCACTCTCCACTTTGTCAAATCCAACTTGCTTTGCAAGATCAGCACAATGATCTTTAATTCTTGGGAGCTCGTCTGATGGATCAAAGACTTTGCAAAAAATAACGAAAATCATGGAGTACTGTACCTCTCACAGAAAGCGCTTCGCAACAAAGCCCGCAAAATAATCATGTGATGCCAGTGCAGAGGCTTAATCGGTGCTAACATAGCATATGCTCAGGACAAAGCCTGCGAAACAATTATATGATGTCGACGTGTACTCCTCTGCACTCCGATGGAATAGCATTATAGTCAACGTAAGTTTGCATTTTAGAAATAGCGTTCCCTTATTCGTCAGTCGCATTATAGCCAATTTGTGTTGCCAGAACATGTGTTATAGCAGAACCGACTATAAACCTGTTGGACTATAACCTGGTGTCATGTGACTTCTGACTAGAAGGAAGTATATTTTATAGGGAGAGGTGATTTCAAGCTGCTGGATGGAGTAGATTATTGTTGTGCAACACTCTAAACCACTGAGAAATGAAGACCACCTAAAGTGCGGCACTCAAGTTCAAACAACAGGCAACCCTTGGGACTTAAAAATGGAACCCATCTGGGAGCAAAATCCTCAATTATTTATGTACATCAGTCATTAATAATCAATCTACTTTAAAATACTTAATTCTCCAGTGTCAGGTTGAACTATGCGTGCCTAATAAATACCCGATATTGGACATGATAGAAAGGATTTTAAGGCCAAACCAGCTTCTGACTATTTGTTATTTTGTAACCTGTAATACTATAGGTTGATAAGTGATTTGGGGTTAATATTTTACGACTAGATGTCTCCAGTACATTTCAGAATATTTTATTTACAAGGTATGTGCAAAACACATAAATAATCTACTTTTCTTCACTTTGACTCCTTCAATCCAGTTTTAAGCTTTTGAATGTTTTACTTTGATGTCTGAGTGGATACTGTTGATTCCTACACTATTCCAGTGGTGCACTACCCATCAGCTATGTATTCATCTAGCTGAGTACTGCAACTGGCAAATAAACTGTTGGTTCTCATGAAAAATGGAATGTGCTTTATAGTGTTCAGTGATTGATAGTGTCTCATTTCTGCATTTTATTTCAAAATAACAATATTTATTGTTAAAAAGTAAAATGTTGAAATTCTAACAGTTTCCTTTTTGTCATCACCAAATAATCGATTATTCACCCAGAAAATCCACGACTGGTATTAAACGATTCATTATTTGTGACACCCCTATAATACACTACAGCTGCATAAGGACAGTATTATTTAGTATCAGTGCCTCTGCACTTTCACTTACACATGCAAGGGAGGTGTTTGGAAGTGAGCAGCTCCACAGTATTTAAGAATAGTTTATTAAGCTGAACTGTAAGCTGTATGTAGAAGAGGGCTTGAGATTGACATGTTTGGGATTAGTTCGGCCCTACATTTTTCAGAGGTCGTCTCCATGGATCTCAGAGGCTGTGAAATAAATGGGCCTTGCTTTAGCAGCTGGCCAAAAGTATGAAACCAATACATAACATTTAATTCCACTGTCTGCATAGGGAGAACACAGATTATTCAGTTATTTGATTAATACAGGAATAAGCTTCTACTTGACCAAAACTATTGTGCTCTATTAATCATTTGACTTCTATTTTGAATAAAAAGGTTTTGGGAGGAAAAGAGAATAATTTACATGGCAAAAATACTATCTCAGTATATCCTGGACATGAGACCAGCCATAAACTACAGAAGAAAGAAATGATAAATCAGTAGTTAAAGAAGAAATCTCACTGTCAAGACATATTTTATAAATTATACACTAACAAAGAATTAGTATTCCCCTTCGTATACTTTTCTTCCTGTTTGTTTCTGCTGATTAAAACATGTGCGTGTATTTTTGTTTAATTAGTTTAGTTCACTGGTCTCACTGGGGAGGTGAGTGGTGGCGGCAAGTGTTGGAGTTGTTTAGCTATTGGGTATGACCATTGCACCAAGAAATTAACTAGCAAACGCTGAAGCACCCCGAGTTACTAAATAAACCTCTAACGTTGTTAGTTCAGCTCTTTCACACTGTCATCCTTAATATCTTCTCTCCACTAGTTTCCCTTATTATTTCGCCATCACTAATCATTCTAAACAAAAATAGTTATAAATTGGCAGAAATAATCAATCACACCGATTGCAGTTAATACTAATTGTTTGTTTTCTTTTACAGTGCATTGTTGGTGTTATGCTTTAAGTACTAGAAATGGAGCTCTGCCAATCTTATTAGCCATACGTAATGAAGAAGAAATATTTCTTTCAGGGATTGGTGATAGGGAATGACGATTTATTAAAAGAATACATCTTTGTGCCCAGTAGACATGTTTGAGTTACTGATTCTCTGATATCACAATGGTTTGATGTGAATGATTGGGAGCAGAGTGACAAGGATGTTTTTAACACTCGGTACTATGTAATGAGGATAGACTGACAGAATCTGCCTTGTTCATGCTTGGAAAAAAATGATATGGCATGATTCAGGTTTTTAAAATGCCACAAGGTAGGGATAACGCAGATGAAAGCAGGTTATTTAACTTCAAATTTGATTGTCGTACTAGAGCACTCGAGTACAAAATTGACAAGCCTCAAGCAAGACAAGAGATTAGAAAAAAATTGCTTTTTCCCCATAGACTTGTAGATATGTATAACAGATTCCTATCAAAAGTAGTTAACATTATGTTGATGAAATACTATAAAAAGACCTAATTGCAAAAGAGATTGAATTTAAAAGAATATGTATATGATCAAATTACAACAGTTCCAAAATTTGATATGGGACATACTTACTTGGGATCAAAGTAACAGGTAAGGACTTAAGAATGGTCGACAGATACCCTGGAGTTTTTCCCAAACAATCTTTGGACTCAAATGAAAATAACATCGAACTTTCTTCTCATGGAAATGTTCTAAGCTTTTTTTTGGTCCTTGCAGCAGATTAATAATTTGCGGAGAATGCATGAATGCATAATTGGACAATTTATTTCAGATCTATTGGAAAAAGTCAAGTTAGTGGAGTATACAAGCTTTTTATCATTTCAAATGTGCTTCACACATTTGTTGTGATTCTCACCCTAAGAGATTTATTGATAGACAATAGACTGCCACTGGGATATTAGTACTTTGAATATGTTAACATGTTGTTGTATATAGCTAGTCATGATTTCAAGCTTTTTTTCTAGTTTTACTCTGTCTAGGCCAAGGTTTTCAATTCCACAATGCTATTGCCCAGTTTGCTGTGACTGAACTAAAAAAAAACTGCTGGCTTACTTCAATGTAGATTGAGACAACTGTTCATGTTCTGAGTATTTGGTGCTTTGAATGTTGCCTGGCCCATTTAATTTCAACTGAAGTAACTTTGGCATACAACCTTCAAATAGAACATTCATACCATATCCTCTTTTCAGAGAAGCAGTAGCTATCTCGGTTCCATTATAAGATAAAATTAAACAATGTTTGAAGTCTTTGGAACACTTTTACTTGAAAAAGGGGTTATATAAATACAAGTTGTTATGGTTATTGTTATATTCCATGTAGTGGCAAGCCAAAAGGATGCATGACTACCCTCTTCATAGAGTTTCACATGGCTTCTCATCGAATTCGATTTAAGCTCTGGCTTCCAAGAGTTATTCTGTAATTCTAGCAACACAACAATGCAACATTTCCTTTGTGACAGTTCTTATCTAGCAGTGTTAGCAGGCAAGTAGTGGAACATGTTATAATTTTAGTTATAGAGAGTCAGTGTTAATGTCCACTACATTCCTATTGTGGCTCAGAGTTGAAATATGTGAACTTTCCACCATGATTTTCAAACACACTGGCATTATCAGTCAGATAAAATTGATGTTAATGGAGAAAAAGCATTTATGTAGACAAGATCACAAACTAGTAATGCAAAGGTTTGCAAACATGCAAAATATTGACGTTATAACTGATAATCTGAACACAGTTATAAGGGTTAAGGTTTCATTGTCTCATCCCTCTTGAATGCTGGAAGCAGAAAAGAATAGTAGCTCTGAAGAAGAACAACTCAAGTCTTTAAGTTGATGAGAAGATGCCTGTGCCCTGGTTCACTGCCAGGTTCTGTAGGTCTTGTTGCATCAGTGTGTGTGCTTCTTTAACAATATGAATTGTAATCCTATTTCAACAAGATTAATATTTTCCCATGTCTGACACAGCTTTTCAAATTCACTAAGTATGGGATGTACTGTGAATGACGCTTCTTTGATTTTTTTTCTTCTCTCTCTGCAGCCTGTTCTGCTATCTGCGCCAATTAAAAGGGAAGGGGAATCTCCTACAGCATCGCCTCTCTCTACAGATGACACTCATCATTCAGACAGATATCAGGTGGGATTGGAGGAAGAACAGCATCCATTGACTGTTCTAAGAACCCAGGTGTAAAGTGATTTTTATGCATTTCCAGCCAATGTTCCAGCTATTCTGATTCTTTTAAAGGGGAAGAGATGTCACTATCAGGAAACCTTTTCAAAAAGAATCTCATCAACAGGACAGAATTTATATTGAGTGTGTCACCAATAGGATTCACTTTACGATCAGGGCTTCATTCAAATGGAAAATCTCATCAGCAAGGCCCATTTTAAATGGGAATTTTCAGTAGCAAGATCCTTTTTAGAAATCACAATCTTACAATAAGTAATAGTAAAAGTAAAAGGAGCTTCTGGAGTGAATACCCTGAATTTGCTGCAATGACCTCAATATGAGTCATATGCAGTTATCATTTTTTCCAAAAAAAAATCAAAAGAATGTGACATGGCCTGAAATGTTGCAGAGACTTCATTGTTGTTTGTCAAACAGCACAATTCATTTCCTACCACAAGATCTCAAGGATTAGGTTGAATGCGGTCGACTCCTAAATACCCCTGGAATGGCCTCGAAAGCCACTCAGATGTAAATAACCACTACACAGTCAGATAAAAGGAATGAAACCAGATGCACCACCCAACATCAACCAAGACACTGGAAATGACAATAGCACATATAGCCGTGTTGACCCTCCACGGTCCTTCCAACATCTGAGGGCTTTTACCAAGATTGAGAGACTTGTCCCACAATGGCTTGGCATCGAGGTTCATAGAATAGAATCCCTGCAGTGTGGAAGCAGGCCATTCAGCTAATCAAGTCCACACTGCCCCTCTGAAGAGCATCCCACCCTGTCCCACCCCATCCCTATAACTCTGCATTTACATGGCTAATCCACCCAACCTACACATACCTGGACACCACAGGGCAATTTAGTATGGCCAATCCACCCAACCTGCACAGTTCTGGACTGTGGGAGAAAACCCCACACAGACACTGGGAGAAAGTGCAAAAGCCACACAGACAATCACCTGAGGCTGGAATTGAACTTGGGTCCCTGTTGCTGTGAGGCAGCAGTGCTAACCATTGAGCCACCGCGCCGCCCTAACACTCATGGAATCATACCTAACAATGTTCCAGATATCATCATCAACATCCCTGGCTGTGTCCTGTTCTACCAACAGCACAGATCTACCAGAGGTAGCAGCACACTGGCACGCGGTTGTGACTTCTTGTTACCATCCAAAGCCCTAACCGAAAAATCAGTTCTCCCCCATGTTGAACATAATTTGGAGGTTGCATTGAGGGTGGCAAGGGCACAGAATGCACTCTGGGTAAGGGATTTCAATGTCCAAAACCAAGACAAGCTTGGCAGTAACTGAACTGAATCCTAAAGGATGTAGCTGATAGACTGGACTTGTGGCAGATTGTGAGGAAACCAATAGTTGGCAAGACCTGCTTGACCACATTCTCACCATCTAACTGTAGCAGATGCACATGCCCATGACTAGCTCTGCACTCCTGCCACATTCAGTCATGAATGGTGGTGGACATTTAAACAATTCATTGGAGGAGGACACTCCATAAATATCTCTATCTACAATGATGGGAGAGCTCAGTACATTTCACCAGTCCAGGTGAAAAAGACATCTTCAACATGAAATGCTGAGTTCATGATTGATCTTGGCCTCCTCCTGAGATCTGGAGTATCTCAGATTTCAGTCTTCAGCCAGTATGATTCATTCCATGTGATATCACAAAATGGCTGAAGGCACTAGATACCGCAAAGGCTACGGGCCCTGACAACATTCTTGTAATAGTACTGAAGACTTGTGCTCCAGAATAATCCCCTGCCAAGCTGTTTCAGTACAGTTACAAACTGGCAACTACCTGACAATCTGGAAAATTGCCAAGGTATGCCAAGCAGAACAAATCCAACTGACCAATATGCCCAATCAAACTACTCTCAATCATCAGAAAAGTGATTAAAGGTGTCATTGACAGTGCTACCAAGTGGCACTTACTCAACAATAATCTGCTTGCTGGATGACCCGGTGCACTCAACTGCTGACCTCATTACAGCTTTGGTCCACATAGAGATAAAAGAATTGAATATAAAAAGGAATGTCCTTGATGTCAAGGCAACATTTTACCTTGTGTGGCATCAAGGAGCTCCAGCAGAACTGGAATTAATGGGAATCAGGGAAAAACGTCCCATAGGTTGGTGTCATGCCCAGTACAAAGTACGATGATTGTGGTTGTTGGAGTTGAGTTACCTCAGTCATAGAACATCATTGCAGGAGTTCCTCAGGCTATTACCCTTGGCCCAACCATCTGCAGCTACTTCAATCAATGACATCCTTTCCATCGTAAGGTCAGAGATGGGGATGTTCTCTTATGATTGCACAATGTTCAGCACAATTCCTCACTCCTCAGATACTAAACTAACCTGTGTCCAAATGCAGCAAGCCCTAGAGAACACTTCAGTTTGGGCTGCCAAGTGACAAGAAACATTTGTGCTGCACATGGGCCAAACAATGACTATCTCCAACAAGAAAGTGTCCAATCATTGTCCCTTGATACCATACAGGATTATCGTCACTGAATTCCCCACTATCAATATCATGGGAGTTATCACTGACCAGAAACTGAACTGGACTAGCCATATAAATAGTTTATTCAAAAGAGACTAGGAATTCTGTGGCAAGTAACTCACTTCCTGACTCTTCAAACCCTGTCTACAATCGATAAGGCATGTCAGGGGCGTGATGAAATACTGACACACAGTGACAGCATTGTGTATCATATACAACAACTCACCAAGACTGCTTTAACACACCTTCGAAACCTTTGACACCTAGAAGGACAAGAGCAGCCAATAAGCTGGAAACACTATCTTCTAAAAGTAACCCCCCAAAACCCCATACCGTGCTGACTTGGAAATATATCACTGTTGCTCTGTCAAAATCCTGGAACTCTCTCTGTGACAACAATGTGGGGTGGCTACACCACAAGGACTGCAGCAATTCTAAAAGACAGCTCATCACCACTTTCTGAAGGGCAACTAGAGATGGGTAATTAATATCAGCCTGTCCATATCCCATGAATGAATAAAGATTTTTTAAATGAACAGAGGTAGGTTATTTAGCGTCTGAAGCCGACTCTGTCATTTGATAAAATTATGGCTCATTTGCTTGTGACCTCAGGTCCACTTTTCTTTCTGCTCCCATTACCCTTGTTGATCAAAAGTCTGTCTAACCCAGCCTTGAATACATTCAATGATCCAGACTCCATTGTTGTCCTGGGGTAGGCCATTTGGTGTCTCAAGCCTCCTTTGCCATTCAAAAATGTGGTAGCTGATTTACCTCAATGCCATATTTCTGTGCTATACTTCAATGTCTAGTAATTTGTTGATATAGATTGAATATGCCTGTGCACACTCAGTAACTTAGTTTCAACAACCATCTAGACAGTGAATGTCGAAGATTTATCACTCTTTGAGTGAAGACGTTCTACCTCATCTCAGTTATATTCTAAGACTGCTCCCTGTTTTTGGACCCCTGCAACCAAGGGAAAGATCCTTCGGGTATCTACCCTGACAAGCCTTGGAAGAAATTTGTAAGTTTCAATTAGATCATCTCTCATTCTTCTGAACTCTAGAGAACACAGGCAAAGCCTCCTCAATGTCTCTCTTAGATCAATCTTCCATCCCATGGAATCATGGCTGCACTTGCACTGTGGCAAGCATATCCTTCCTTAGGAGACAAAAACCATACACAGTACTCCAGGTGTTGTCTCAATGAGGCTCCATAGCTGGATGAAATTTGGGCATCTCCATGGGATCATTCATTTGGTTGCCTCAAGATGATGCGCTGTGGCACCGTTAGAAATGAAGTTGTACTCATGTTTCCACCTGAAGTTAGAGTGGTCCATGCCATCATTGGCAGGGATTGAGGTAAGGCAGTAACAATTATATGGAGCACCCTGTTCTGTTTTGTGTCATATTCTAATGGTGAACTGAATAGCCACATTGAGAAGTTGTGAACAGGAATTCCCAGTGAAGGAAGCAAAAGCAGGAAAAAATGGGGTTTTGCAATTTAAGAAAAATATCCTTTAAAAGACTGTTTGTGGGAATCTTTAAATACTGCATTGTTTCTCAATTTTTTTTTAGCTAGTGAAACTGTGAAAATCCCGTTGTCCAATAAAAGCATTATGAGAAAGCTCATTTGGATCACATAAAAGTCCTATAAGCTTAAGAAGACTGGTCAATAAAAATAGTCATTATAATTAAACAGAAGTTCTTTAAAATAGACAGGCTCTGGACACTAAAGAAAGCTTTCATAATGTTTAATTATAGCATTTAGCTTAAAACCAAAAAGAAAACCTTTAAGCATTTATTCTCCAATTTCTTCTAACCCAAAGGCTTTAACTTATCCTGACATATTGCTCCTCTGGCATCACTAGCTCTCCATTATTTTGAACAAGCAACCATTCATATCTTAACTTGGGTGGTGAGTTTTAGCAAGCTATTCAATCACATGGATCATCATAGTCAAACCTGATCTGTTCTCAGCTTAACTTCAGACATGAGCTCTTGGATAATGACAAAGATCCAGAACCAGGGTTGATTTACCTTGCCAATGAGAAGTAAAAGTAATAATTAGAACAGATAATGATGATGATAAAGTGCTTATTTGGTGGAGGCAGAAACTGTTTTACTTGTCTAACATTATCCTGTTTATAAAACATATGAACCAAGCACAGAACTATCACATTTTTATTTGGCACAGCTTTAGCTGTCAAGAAAGAGAATGAGAAAATAAAATGCTTCTCAGTATGAAGCTGGAACATCACTAAAGTAATGTTAATTTTTCTGTTTGATTTCAAATGAATTATTGTTATAATAGATTTAACATACTTTGCCCATTTATTACAAATATGATTTTGAATAAATATTCACTCTCCATTCTTTGTGTGCAGATTTATTTGCCCCTGTTCCATGTCACAGATGCTTAAAAGAAAAATAAAATCAACTAACTTAAGAAGTGTTTGCTCCCCTTGCCATATGACTGATCAGTGCAAAATCCTATCACTATATTTAAGCATCTCTAAAACACACTGTGCGTACAAACTGTTTTCCTCACTTACCATGTACTCCACACTTGTAACATATTCAAGATCAAATTTTAACTAGCTCAAATTTTAGGTAAAGGTTGATCAAGCCATAGCTAAAAGGCCCCGTGTGTATGTTTGTGGGTAATGCTGCAATTTAACAGTCTGAAATATACAGGCTACTAGTACACAGAATGGTCAGCTTCCTGCTGCTTCACCATGGAGAAGTGATATGAGAAGTTATATAGAGCTAAGTGAAGAGTCCTTGTGCTACTGACAGATCTATCTCTCTAGGTTTCATAAGTGAGCTGGACTGGCTGGTGAATTATCAACTGTCCTGAAACCTGCCTAACTTAGTACCAAGCTTATCTGTGTGCTTAGGGGTTTAATTGGGTTTGGGATTTTCATTGCTGGTATATCATCTGGGAGATACCTCAACACAAAAAAAAAATCTCACTGGGTGGTCATCTCGATCCCAAAGTGATCTCATTTCTGAGACCTCCCCCATCTCCCCAAAAAGAGGACAGTCTGTGTAAGGAAAGTAACTCTGTATTGTGTTTCCGCTTTGCAACAATCACAAATACAACAAGTTAAGTGGGTGTTCTTCAGACTCACAGTTCTTACAATTATGTAGCTTTTCCTTGAGGTTTTTCCACGACCTGCTTGATGCTCAGTAATTACAAAACTAATTATTTTTCAGAGATTCTTTTCATTGAGGAGGTTTCAGGTTAATCCACTTCCAACAACCTGCACTGAAAACTCTGCTCACATTCTGACAACTATGATGAATTATAGAACAGCAGCTGAGACACTCCACAATATTTTAAAACAATATACAACCTTCTTAATAAAACAATTCACGACATAACTTTTTAAACAGAGTCTGCTTCCATAATCTCTCAATGACAGTGAATTCTTTAAGAAGTTTCAGAATTTGGATGTGCACCTTCACCAAAGACTAATCAGGTTTTCCTTGGCCATTCCCTATTTGTAAATCAGATGTAATTAAAATCTATCTATTAGTCACTAGATAAATTGTTTACAGACAAATCGTCCAATAGAAGTGAAAACAGTACCTCCAGTCATCTTCAGTGGCAAACAATCAGATGGGAGAAAAGTTAGTTTTTTTTACATGGTAAGTAGTTGTTGTTATATTTAGGAAAGCCATGTAATAAAGTATAGAATGGGAGACAATTTTTCAAGTGCGCTACTTGGAAGTGTGGTGGAAGCAGGTCGAATATTTTCCAAACAGGAATTGATTTGCTACACTTCAGGGAAAAAGTGGGAATATGGGACTTATGAATAGCTATGTCGAAGAGCTGGCACTGGCATGATGGGGCGAATAGAGTCCTTGAGTCCTGTATGCATTATGATTCTATTCCTACAGAGAAAGTAAAAAAAAACCTTGTGCCCATGAACTAATTGTTGTTTGATTATCTCAGCAAGTGAATTACTAGATCCTCAACACTTCTAATTATAAATAGTTTGGATAATTGACGTTCTTATGCAGCTGATGAAAATGTGTGCTTTACTAGTTGTGCTATCATTAACCTCCTTACATGCAGAAGGGACGTGAATGTCTAAGAATCATCCCTCCGTGAAGCTGCTTTTCAAGATCACTTTTTTCTCCTATCTTACCTTTGTTTGCTTTTCACAAGTTTTTTTTCCCTCCAGGCTGTTGAGTCATTTGTGTTAAAATGTTGCATAATTGTTCACTATCCAGGAAAAATAATAAATATATTTGCTGCTCAGTTATTTATAGATAGTCCATAAATGTGGCCTTGCCAACATTCTGAGAACAAATAAAACCCTGATGCTTGTAAGTATTTTCCCTCTATAACGATGGGTAGATGCTGCTGAATTTGTGATTTTACAGGTATGCCTGCAAAACAGCTAGTCGTTGATGTTAAATAATATATAACATGGATGTCATTCCCACTCTTTGAATATCACACTACTATTAATGTGGAATGATTATTCTTCAGGTTACATGGGCGTGATAAATGACTGTACCCTACATTCGACATTAAATCGTCATAATCTTACACATTTTGCTGGAGTGATGCTCGTAAAATGAGAACATTTTATTTTAGAAAGTTAGTATGGTATATGTTGCCATCAAAAATGATTTAGAAAACTGTTACAGACCACTGGAGCAGTGTGTAACATCATCTAAACTTCATCTAAAGTTCCTCAATTGAATCTTGTAATTTACTCAGATTAATATTCATCTGTGTTTAAAGAAAATCAGGAAACTAGTTCATCTTTCTTTTGGAATTTAAAAAAAAATCATATAACTTTCAAAGCTACTTATTGCCCACTGACAAATATTAGCTATCTTTGTAACAGTTCCAATGAATGGCTATTCATAAAGTAAATCCTATTCAGTCTAAGCTTGATTAAGGTAAGAATAAAAAGTTGATGCAGATTTTTTCTTTCCATTTATATCTATAGCTGATCGAAATTGACTTTGTTTCCTTTAAGTTTTCAATGCATCAAATACGTTAAATCAATTCCGTGTAATGATTGAACAAAACAAATGAATGATCCAGTACAGAAATCAGACTCTGATTGAGTAGAGATTTTGGTTCAAACAGCAGAAGATCCAGGCACTGTGTTTCAGTGCTGGTTTGCTGCCACCTATCGGCCAATGGAGGCACGTGCACGTTGTACTTTGCACTTTCACCTTGCACTCCCTGGTCACGTGACCCCACAGTTTGCAAGGCCTGATGTAAGCTGAGCAAGATGCCGCTTCTTGGTTTGAATCTAATGACATCCTCTCTGTTTCTGTGATCTGCTCGGATCGGATTATAAAGGTGTAAAGTTCCCAGGTGCTACATTCATGCCAAGTAATATTGACAGGTCATCCCACTTTAATCCTGCTATGGAGCCAGCAATAATGGAGGATACAGAACAGACCAATGGCAAGGAGGAAGTAGGTTTTGTTTACATCCTGTACAGTTAGGCAATGAGAAAATCCACTGCAATCTGTCTGTTTCAGGCATATTTTTCACAGATATTCAAACAGAATCTGACAGTTTAAGTGCCTCATGTTTATTTTTCACCTTTCTTTTCTGCTTCTCTTTAGACATTTTTGCGAGTAAGGTCCAACAGGCAAGCAAGGCTGAATGGTAAGGTTATGTTGACTGATAACACCAACTTTTTAAAAATATTGATTTGCAAGCAAAATCCCTATTTTTTTCGGAAAGTGGCATTAGAATTAAAGTGATGTCTTTTGAAAACAAAATCCAAATATATGCTTGAAACTTGTATCCTTTCTCTGTTTTCCATTCCTGAACTTTCCACTCTGTTTAATGAGCGAACTTAATGTTGATTAACTTTATGTCTTTATTCTGAGTGGGAGGAAGTGACATACCATGAGATGCTGCACTAGAACCTAGATAATGTGTAGATACAATATCAACACCTATATGATTTCTTCTAATCTTCATATTTCTCTAAGGAGCACAGGAACAGCAGTAAGCCATTCAGCCCCGTGAGCATGTTCTGCTATTCACTGAGATCATGGCTAATCTGTGGCCTAACTCCATCTTTCTTTGGCCTATATCCCTTAATACCTTTGTTTAACATAATTTATCTATCTCAAATTTAAAATTAACAACTGATCTAGCATCAACTACCATTTGTGGAAGAGAGTTCCAAACCTCTATTATCCATTGTGAGTTGAAGTCCTTCCTGACATCTCTCATGAATGATCTAATCCTAATTTGTAGACTGTGTACTTTTATTTGTACTTTTGTTCTTTTAAAAAGTATATTCAATAAATAAAAACTTACATGTAGCACCTTTAATGTAATGAAACATCCCAAGGTGTTTCTCAAGAACATTATGAAACAGAACTTGACCACAAACCACTTGAGATATTAGGGCTAATGGCCAAAATTTGATCAAAGAGGCAACCTTTGAGGAATTTCTTAAAGAAGCAAAGTGAGCTGGGGAAATAGTGAGGGAATTCTATTAAACATAAAATTTCCTAGCAACTCTGAAGACCGCTTACATCATTATCAGAGATAGTAGGAACTGCAGATGCTGGAGAATCTGAGATAACAAGGTGTAGAGCTGGATGAGCACAGCAGGCCAAGCAGCATCAGAGGAGCAGGAAGGCTGACGTTTCGGGCCTAGACCCTTCTTCAGAACCTTCTTCTGAAGAAGGTTCTGAA